AGACACGTTATGAGAAGACCGAGCTCTCTGGAGAAGGCTCTGATGCTGGGAAAGGGGGAAGGAAAGAGAAGAAGAGGACAACCAACAGCAAGGTGGATAAACTCAGTTAGAGATACAGTGGAGAAAATCTATCTGTGTATTTGCTAAGAGTCGACACCAACTTGATGGTGCATCATCAGTCAATCAATCAATCAATCAATCAATCAATCAATCAATATTACATTATAAACAAAACTGATACAATACAGTAACAATAGCACTATAGAAGAGAGCCAGGTTGGTGTAGTGGTTAAGGCACCAGGCTAGAAACCAGGGGATTGAGACCTCTAGTCCCGCTTTAGGCACGAAGCTAGCTGATGACCTTGGGCCAGTCCCTCTCTCTCAGCTCCAGGAAGGAGGCAATGGCAAACCACTCCTGAAGAACCTTGCCAAGAGAACTGCAGGGACTTGTCAGGCAGTCACCAGGAGTCACCACTGACTCAAAGGCAAAAGCATGATATAACCAGAGATAAAACCTATTCAACTGTTTAGAAGAACTCTGATTTGTCCTCATGTTACATTCTGTACATTTGTGGAAATAAATATGGCAGGGAAGTATATTAGCAGCAGTTTAGGGTTTGAGTAGCATTGTAAGAGGAGAGCTGCCTTAGTGTATAGTGGCAAAATATCAGGAAAGCAGGAGCACCTTTTCCTTTCAGGAGCTGAAGTCCTAAAGCAGAAGATTATCTTCTGCACTTCTAAAAGAATGTCCAGAAGTGATTCAGAACCACCAAGGGCTCTTACATATTCTATGGGTAAGGACACCATTCATAGGCAGAGCTGCAAGCGTCAATGTAAAGGTGAGATTCTGGCACCAGAAGGAGTAGTTTAAATCTATCACATACTGGAATTATTTGGGACTACCCAAAGGGGACATCCTGCCTTGTCCAAAACATCCTGTCTACTGACAGTTAAAATAAAAAAGATCTCAGAGGTACAGAAAAGGGGGACCATCCAATTTTCAACACAGATCAATCCTAGGTGAGGGGTTACAAATGAAATCCAGCAAAGTGGGATGGGCCAGAACTTAGCAATGGAAATCAAACATATGTGTGGCAGCTGGTCAAAGAGACATGGCAGAAGATGCACCAGTGGGACATATTTGAAAGAGACAAAATATCCTGGAGTCCCTGTGTTGATGCTGGAATCTCTGCACCAAGATAAAGGGAAGCACGTGATTAAATGCTTGATACTGAATGAGAACAAGAAAGGTGAATAAAAAGAATCACTAGGATAAGACTAACAATGGCAGCTCCAGTTTCAGATGCTTGATAAGGCTATGCCCATTGCAGTTGCCAATCTCCTTCTTGCCTGCCCCCATCTCTATGCAAGCTCACCCTGCCTGGCTCCCAAACCATCATACTATATAGCAGTGTTTCTCAATCTTGGCAACTCTAAGATGTGTGGACTTCAACTTCCAGAATTCCCTAGCCAGCCAGTGTATTACACTGCTGTGTAATGCAGGGTATTACCATAAATAGCCTGGCAAGGTCCACCAAAATCTGGTGCCAGCCCTGATTCCTAAATACAAACTCTTCAAAACAATGCAGCAGGAGCATGTTCACTTGGAGAACATTTGCAGTCCCTGTCCCTGCAAGGGCTCTCTCCAATAAATTATTTGAAGACTAGCAGAACTCCCAAAGAATTACTGTGGCCTGTTTTAATAATTTGGTATTGCAAACAGGATGATAAGATGGAAAGAGTAAATAGGGGTATAAACAGTACAGAATGTTCTGTACTGTTTCAACTATCTTTGTACAGTTATAATTACCTTATGTTTAACTCACAAAGGGCTACGTTTTTAAACGTAGAATGGCCATAGAAATAACCATCATGATTCTGACCATGGCCTTAAAATTCAGGTAGCTCTCAGACCCCACTGTGCCAGTTGACTGGCACTAAGGATCGCAAATGCTACCCAGAGTTCTAGACTTGGAAGGGATCGGCAATCCCAGTTCAAGTCTCCACTTGACCACCACCTCTCTGGGTCACTGGTTTCACTGCCAAGCTCCTCTTATTGTTAGGAAGTTTCCCCCAGTATTCCTGAAACTTAAATCCATTATTCTGGGTCCTGTAATCTAGAACATGACAGAACAGATCTTGACCTTCTTCTGTGTGACAACCTTTCAGGTATTGAAGAGTGTTACTGTGACACACCTGTAATCACAGACCCAGTGTTGGGGAAGGACTGGAACGGAGGTTTGAAAAATGGCTGGCAGCTTAAATGGTGCTGACAGGTTGTGGGTTTTAGTAAAGCACAATGGGCTGGTAAACCTGATTTAGACTGGACAGCATTTGTACTGCTGAAGAGAGTAATTGGGCACAATCTGAAGAAGTGCACTGAAGACCAAAAGAGGAAGAAGAATGACAAGGGAAATTACTAACCAACAGAGAGGTGTAATGGGCTGTGAGAATAACCTTGAGGAACTGGCGGAAGAACCACAGCCAAGGGGATAGGCACATTCAGAGTTGGAAGATTCTGTTACTGTAACCCTATAATAAAAGAAGATTTAGTATTCATATCTCTGATGTTCAAGTGTGGTCTACCTCAGAGGGCAGACATCAATCTTGCAACTCTGAATGTGCCTCCCCGCTCCCTGCCTTTATCCTAAAGAGAACTAGGGAGCGTGAAGTCTGAGACGTTTTCTCAAATTCCATTCCTGCTTTAGATTTCTCTTATCTGACCCCTGCCTTGGCTGCAGCTCTTCCTCCTGTTCCTCAAGGTTACTCTCACAGCCCATTACAAAAGGACTCGGTAGGGTGCCAGAAGACAATGCAAAATAAGATAAGCAAACCCTACCAGCTAGAGGGAGGCCCATTGCTAGGTCATCAGAGAGAGAGGGAGGGGGAGAGAGAGCGAGAGAGCGCACAAGTGAGTGAGTGCAAGTGACTGAATAAGTTTGGCATTGATCTCTGTAAGTCCTTCCTTAACTCTAGAATTAGGACACAGGTAGTGTAAATATATGTTACACTTGTATCAAAACAGACAGACTGTCAGGCCTAGCCCAAGGAACTCCAGGAGACCATGCAGATTCAGTTCAGCAATGTTT